AGCTTGCAACGCTTGCGTTAGCCAATCAACGTCGAAGCGCCCTGAGAAGGCCAGCACCTCCCAGATCTGTTTGGTACCGGCCACACGTTGCAAATGGCGATGCCACCGCTTACGCTTCTGGTCTTTCACAAACTTGGCGACGCTACCCAGACCTGCACCCTTGGCCTGGCCACCTTTTCCCGCAGGCTGAGAAGCACCGTGAGAACCTTTCTTACCGCCTGGCCCTTTGTTAGGACCCTGCGGAACCGCATGGCCCCCTTGTGGCGCAGACTTGCCTTTCGCTTTTCCCTTTTCGATATCCCGTTCCTGAAGCGCACGCTGCTGCCGCGACTGCTCGTACTGGTCGCGAGCTACTCTGACCAATTCCTGGCGCTCAGGCTCCGTGAGAACGTAGCGCATGTCGTCGATGTTCTTGCTCCGCAGAAAGTCATGTCGAAGCTTAAGGACAGAGAGAATGGCTCGGCCAGTCTCCTCCTGAGACGCAAAGGCCGTGTCATATTCCGAGCCAGGCTGAGGAGCGCCAGCTGGATCAGTGTCCGCTGGCTCCGTGGACTTCCTCTTTTTGAAAAGCAAGAGACTGAGATGATGGAGGACTTTCGGATCGTACTCCTCGTCGTACCTGTCGTCCCAAAGCTGCCTCAGCTCCCTGTGCAAGTCGTCCGCGCGATTCTGAACGACATCCTCGACGTAGTCGGGATCACCCGGTGAAGTCGGTGAAAGCGGAGGAGTAGAACTCGGCGACCGATCCCAATGCACAGAAGACTCGCGGTCCGCCTGTACGCTGACGTCGGCGTCGGAGACGTTTTCGACGACAATTTCCGCCTCTTGCTCTCCCCAGGCTGAATAGCACCAGGGAGAGTGAGCACAACCGCCACCGCATCGTGTGCGTCGTTGCGCATGCCACGATCCGTAAAAGACGCGCCAACGGCAATGGAGCAGAAACGGGCGACTGCTCCGCAGACCGCGACGTGGTCGCCTTTGAGGTCGGCCGGAGTGGCATGGACCTCCCATACCTTCTCGTCGTTCTGCTGGCGCTGGTAAGCCTCCCGCGCCTCCTGGAAAGTGAGGTTGTCGTCGCCGACTACAAGCAGAACGACTGCCTGGTTTAGATTCTCAAGAATCTTGGCCAGGCCGTCCAGGTGCAAGCGGAGATGGCGAACTGTCCGCTTTCGAGTCTGGATGGTCGGCGGTTTCTTGCCGCACACGATGTGCATGTTGGCGATCACCACGTGGAACTTGTCATGGCCTGGTTTGTTCACCTCAAAATGTGAAATAACAGCATCAATCTCTCGGCCGCTAGGAGGCCTGTAAACTTTGCTGTCTTCGCACAGAGTCAGTTCCGCAGGCTGAGAAGCACCGCGGAACCCCCAGAGAGTCAAGTAGTTGTCGACCTCCGAGAAGCGAATGCCATCACCGAAAGGCTTACTGAGGATCTCTGTCACGTTGATCCCTGCTCGGCGAAAGCCTTCACGGAACGCACCGACCTCGCAGCCACAGACAATATCAGCATCAGCGGTCTCCACTATCGTGGCGCACAACCTTCCGAAGTTAGCGCAGTGAGTGGCCGCCTGCTTACCAGTCATCATGCCCTGCTCGAACCCGAAATTGAACGAGGCGACCGTGAAAGACGCAGGCTGCACAGCGCCAGAACCAGGCGTCTGTCCACCTTCCTCCGCAGGCTGAGAAGCACCGCGAGGCGGCGCAGGCTGAGAAGCACCGCGAGGCGGCGACACTTCGGACGAGCCTCGCGGAGCAGAGGCTGCGGATGAACGTTGGACATGGGGGTACGGCCAGGGGAACGCCATTGCAATCAAAACTCAGTGGTCTGCAGTGAATGAATGCAGTGGCACGATTGAATGCAGAGGACTGCAGTGTCACTAGCAAGTCCTGAACCAAACACAGCTGTGGCGGAAGGAGTATGAAGCGTCTGGCTATTCAAAATGTGGCCCGGGAATGGAGTTCTGGGAACTCGAAGACCAGGAAGTGGACTAGAGTTGGCTCCGGGCATCCAAAATGTGGCCCGGGAATGGAGTTCTGGGAAATGGAAGAGCACGAAGTGGCTTACAGTTGGCTCCGGGCATCCAAAATGTGGCCCGGGAATGGAGTTCTGGGAAATGGAAGAGCACGAAGTGGCCTACAGTTGGATCCGGCCCCCCAGAATGTGGCCCGGGAATGGAGTTCTGGGAAATAGAAGAGCACGAAGTGGCCTACAGTTGCATCCGGCCCCCCAGAATGTGGCCTGGGAATGGAGTTCTGGGAAGGCGAAGAGCACGAAGTGTGTGACTGTTGGTGAAAAACGAGCCCGGCTCACTGCCGCCCGGCAACTCCCAACACCTGCCCGGACCCCCCTGTGGAGTGATCTGCTGCTCTCTTTTGATCCCACTAGAAGCCTATCAGTCTTCGCTGTTAGCGACGACGACGACGACGACGACGACGAAGACGACCGCCTCCAACGGATTCACAAAAATCAAGGCGGAAGGTGTTTAACGCCGTCTTCAGCCCCTGCAGGGGCCGCCCCGCCGACCCCAGGGGCCGTCAGGTGCCGGCTCGGGGCGGAGGGAGGTCCCTCGGGGAAGGGGTCTCGAGTCGGAGTGTCTCGGGCCGGACGAATGGGGGGGATTGGGAAACGGGGGGTTACGAAATTTGCTGCATGCAGCTGGTTTCGGCCCCACCGAGGGACCCATTCCTCGATACATAGTCGCCTCCAGCGCCAGGAGGCGCCGGGAAAGTCAGCTACGTGAGCTGATTCTCAAACCTCCCGTTTGCTATCCCCCCCTTTCGCCCGACCCGAGAGTCGGAGTGTCGGAGTGTCGGGGGAATCCGACCGGGCAGGAGGTCTCGACGGGAGGTCGAGGGGGGGAGGTCCGTGTGAAGGAAGGGAGGAGGTCGAAGGAGGTCTCGACGGGGAGGAGGCCTCGACCGTGTTGAAGGGGCCGAGGGAGGTCCCCCGGGGGAGGGGTCTCGAGACTTCTGGGGGACCCCGTGTCGGAGCGTCTTCGGGTGCGCGGCGTTCGGCGTGGCCGCCCTTTGTCGCACCGCGTGCCACGATCGGCAGGCTTCGCATCCAGAGCCACCGCTGCCTGGGGTCAAGTCGGGCAGGTCCCCCTGCAGGGGGATTTTCGACGAAAAATGAAAATGCCACAGAAATAGTCAAAACATAGTCCAAAAATAGTCCAGGGGGTATTTGTGGCGTATTTTTTATTTTTCGTCGAAAATTCTCCTGTAGGGGGACCCGCCCGACATAAGCCTGGGGTCACTCTGTGGCGTGCGGCCGGGGCGACGGCAACGGCATCGACGATCGCGGCGGCGACGGCAGGGGCGAACGCGGCGGCGACGGCAACGACGATTGCGACGGCAACGGCGATCGCGAGGGTGACGGCAGTGGCGATATGGCCAGGGGGGCGTCGGCAACGCCGATGGCAACAGCGACGACAGTGGCGGCGGCAACGGCAACCGCCGCTGACGACGGCTGCGGCGACGACGGCGGCGGCAACGGCGCCCACGGCAGCAAAGTCGGCTGCGGCTTGGAGCACGCATCCGCTTGAACCGATCCTGGCAAAGCCGCCCCTGGGCTCAGGATCGGTGCATTGTGACGTCTCTCCCAGAGCCAGCGGGGCGGATGCACCGATCCTGGGCTCATCGCGTTCCATGCCAGCACCTAACAGGAGGGCAATGGACAAGTGTTGCAAGCTTGCGCAAGTGTTTACTTTTGTCAAGAACGCCCTGGGGAGGTAATTGCGTGGACAGACGCTGGCTATGCAGGGTGCAAGACGTCGCGGAAACCAACAAGCGGAGGTACAATGATGTTGCGGCCATACTTCCTTAAGCCGTGGAGTATATTGAGAGCGTGGTGTCATTATCATCTGCCAAACCCAAGTATTACAGGATGGTTAAAAGTTCCCAGCAGTGTTAGGATTGCAAGCGTTTCTCAAGGTTTTCGAAGTTGTCATTGGCATCCCGGTAGAGAGCGATGCAAGTGCAGCCATTGCCATTGCAGCAGCAGGCGCGGGCTTGGACAAGTCAGGCACATCGACGTGTGTCAGTTTCGGTACAAGAGAAAGTGCGGCGAGGAAACATCAGAGCGATCAAATTTGGACCTCACCAGAACCTGGCAGTTGCATGGATCAATAATGATCTGAGAAGTGGCGAATGTCCTTGCATATGCCAGGTGCTGACCAGCACCTTGTCAGCGGAAGACATGAGCTGGCACCCGCTAGTGAGTACTAGCTGAATCCACATCGGGCTTATCATCGAAAGCCGAGTTGCTGGGGATTTGAGTTCAGGACCAGTTGAGTCCAGGTGCCGGTCTGTGCGATTTCAGACCTGAACTACAGAAGGCGCGGTGTTTTGCTACATCGAAAGTTAAGAATCGCGTCCTAGCAGGTCCTTGTACGTTTACGCCCAGTTCATAATCGCCACTCGGTTGCACCCGTTGTGATTCCAATTTCCTCAAGGTGAATCCGGGCTTCGCTGCGCCGCCCTCTTGTTTCGCACTCGCCCATTACCCAGCCGATTTTGCTTCTTTCAGGAGGGGAAAACACACACAGACACAATTAATCGTTGCTTCCCCAGAAAGTATGGACAAATATGGGAAGTGGGGGGGAAGACGAAAACCCAACAAATATCTGAAACTATGTGGATTTGTTTTTATTTGTGTGTATTTATTTGTGTGTCCTGGGGCCCCTTCATTCTTCTATCCCAACCGTGTCCACAATCGGTTTACAAACCGAGAGGGGTGCTACATTGTACCGCTCCGACTTGGTGAGTAGGCGCATGGCCGTTTTGGAGAGCGCGATGCGCATGTCACGGAATTGGTGCGTGAACGTCGGGTCCGATGAGGGTCCGCGCCCGCACTGGGTCAAGATGCGTACACATCCAAAGAAACAGGTGCTTACCATATGCGAAGGAGGAAGATACTGAGGAAGGGAGACCGAAAGATGATGGAGGACGGGCAACGGCGAAGAGTCGGGAGGGATGGTGGAGGGGGAGGAGGAGAAGGAGGAGGAGGGAAGGCACGCTCCTGGAGCGGGGCCCGCCGCGCTCAGGGGCGACGTTAAGGTTTTCAACGAGATGCGCGAGGCTTCGCCGTCGCGCCCCGCGGCCGCCGGTCGCTTGCCGCAGCCTCGGGCGACGTCGACGACGACACTGACGACGACGCCATTGACGACGACGACGACGACGCCGTCGAAGGCGAAACCCGCGATGACGTCGTAGACGACGACGACGACGACGACGTCTTAGACGACAACGACGCAATTTCGTTGTTTTTGTTACCCCAAATCCTTAGGGGTGTGTGTTTTCTCTGGACACCCCGCGCAGGAACAGGAGCATTACCCCACCCACATCAACATCATCATCACCACCACCATCATTATAATCATTATCATCTTCATCACCACTCAGTCGCTAATTCAGTCAATCACCAAGTCATCATCATCAGCACCACCATCAGCATCGTCGACATCACTTCCACATTCACCCACAGTCACACACAAACGCTGTCTCTGACACACACACACACATGTTCACACACTCGTGCATTCATTTTGAAGAAGAATCAGGCGGCAGCCTCGTCTGTGAGTGAATTTCGAGGAATTCTCATGCGGGACCCCCCTCCCTATGCGGCCGCAGTTCATGATACGACTACGAACGGGTCATCGGGAATTTGTAGCCGTCGTCATGTTTGGGCTCCTGGGTCTTGAATTTTGGGGAAGTATAGGCAGGAGCCTCGTCCGTGAGTGAATTGCGAGGAAGTCTCAAGCGGGAACCCACTCCCTATGGGGCTGGCACTTCATGCTTTTCATCCGAGCGCGTTATCGGAAACTTGCAACCGTCGTCGTTTTGGGGCTCTTGAGGCCTGGATGCGGCGGGAGTTTCAGGTGGGCGTTGGCAATCCGAGCGATGTATGCCAAGTTAGTCGCCGACGAACTTGTTACTGTCCTGGTCCCGCGTGCCCGACATGGGGACTTCCTGCGGTTTCGCAGTAGCGTAGGACACAAAGGCGATCGAGGACCTGACGACGACGACGACGACGAGGAGACGGCGGCCGGGCGCAGGGGAAACTTTTTGTGTCCGGGCCAGGGATTTTGACCCATGCGCGGCCGAATCGGGGGTAGGGGTAACCTCTTGTCTCCAGGCCGGCGGTGGTAACCCATCGTTGGCCGAATGGCGATCATGCGGAACATGCTGATCCTGCGGCCGCCCCCGCGGGAGTTCCTGGAGGACGGGCCGCAGGCGTCCTTACGGGAGGCGCTTAGGGAGTTCGACAAGAGAGCGGGGAGATCCAGGGCTGATGCGGAGCAGCTCGCGGCAGAGCTGGGCTTCGTGCTGCCTCCCGCTTGAACGCGGCCGCGGCTAGCTCGGTGCCTGCGGGGTTGTCCCACTGGTTTGCTCCCGCGCCCCAGCGGTTCGCGGGGTTGTCCCAGCGGCCTGGCCCTCGGGGTTGTCCCAACGGCTGCGCGCTGTAGCCATTCGAGGATGCGCCCGTGCTGGCCGAGGCAGCGACGGCGCCGAAAAACATCGGCACTCGCGCTCGTGCAAGAGTTAGACAACAAAATGGCCGGGGGGGACATAGGAGGGCGAGGAGGGGGCAGCGCGTGGAGCGGGAGGACGGCCTGCGCCAGGGCAAGAAGGATAATGACGCAGGGGAGCCGATGAGGACGCCTCGCCGGTCACGAGGGCGACGGCGAGGGGCACTTCCAGATCTGCCGAGAGGGTTCCCATGGGTCCTGCCGTCCGCCGGAGCAATTCGGCCCTTTCCTGGCCCCTCCCCCGGGGTCTTCCAAAGACCCCCGCGTCCAGGGCAATTTGGGGGGGGGGGCGCCACGGGTTTTTTCGTCACATTGGGGGCGCGCATCAAGAAACCATATGCTTTTCGTCCGGGTATCCTGGGTGTCTTCGCTCCTCGCGCTGCGCGGAATTTCCCGCGGCTGTTGAAGGAGCTGCGGCGTTCTGGATGTTCCGGGTCTCCCCTCAGGTGCACCTCGCGCGCGGGCTCTCAGTTTTTATTGCGAGGGTTTCTTGCGGCCGCGCCCGCACTGTATGGGATAAGCCCTGGGGGGAGGCCTCGACCCTCGGTCGCCCCTTCCTCGCCGATTGGGGGCCCGACACCCCGCCCCGCCCCCGAGAGCGCGCGGCTCTGTCATCGGGGGGGCGATCGCCGATCCAGTGTCGACGCGTCGCCGAATCCAGGTCGACGGCCGTCCCCGCGTGGGCCGCCCCCCCCCCCCTTCCCCAAACGTTGCCCCAGCACCTCTGCGGATTCGCAGAGTCCTCTTCCTCCTTTCTCCTCCCCCTCCACCTCCTCCTCCTCTTCCTCCTCCTCCTCCTCCGCCTCTTTCTCCTCCTCTTTTTCCTCCTCTTCCCCCACCTCCGCCGCCTCTTCCGGCTTTCCCGCGTTTTTTCGTCACTCGTTCTCGCTGCTGGGCCCCCCTTTTGGATTGTTTCTTCTTAAAAAATGTGCGGCCCTCCCCCCTCCCACGAGGGCGCGAAGTGATTCGCGCTTCGCGGTCCTCGTTCGTTCGCCCCCTCCTCATCGTCCTCCTTCTCTCCTTCTCGGGGGCGGCGGCGCGAGCGCGCGAAGTTTTTCGCGCTGCGCTCAGCGCGGAGCGCGAAGTTGGGAGCCCTTGTCTTGTCGCCCTCCTCCCCCGCGCCTCCCCCCCCGAGGCCTTCGAGGTGCTGGGGGACAACGAGCAGCGGAGGTCCCACCCGCGCCCCGCCGGCAGAGGAGGAGAGCAGGCGCTCGAGGCAAGGAGGGATGGGCACAAACCTCCAACGTGTTGACTTATCGGGGGCGGCAAAGAGGGGGGTGATGACTAGGGGGGTGGATTTCATGGCGGGGGCCATGATATTTCCCCAGTTTTCATGGCGCCCCTTCTTATTTCATTACGTCCCTGTTCCCCCCGTTGGGCCGCGCACGTGCCGCCGGTCATGATTTGCACCCCCCTTTCTTGAACACCCCCCTCTTGGACGCTCCCGGGACTAAGACGACGACGGCGACGACGACGGCGGCGGCGGCGGCGGCGGCGGAGGCGGAGGCGGCGGCGGCGGTGGCGACGGCGGCGGCGGCGGCGACGGCGACGGCGACGGCGACGGCGACGGCGACGGCGTGGTGACGACGACGACCGCTTCCAACGTATCGGTAAAAACCGAGTCGGAGGTTATTCCCCGTTTTTGGCCTCTAGGGGGCATCGCCGGGTCCAGGGACCGTCAACATATTACTCAGGATAAGAAGCCGGTCTCAGGGAAGGGGTCGCGATCTTCGGGGACCTTGTATAGATAAAGTCAAGGTATCGGACCTCTAGGAGATATTGGAGGTAGGATGGTGGTGGGAGCAGAGACGGTTAAGGCATGGCTGCTGGACCAGCTCGGGAACGCAGAGGAGGTGGGCGGATGGAGGCGGATGGGAGGTTTGTGGAGGGCGGGGGCGGGGATGTGGAGGAGAGGGAAGCGGGATCGGAGGGGAGGGTGTGGAGAAGAGAGTTGAACGAGGATGGAACGGAGGAGTAGGAGGAGACGGAGATGGAGACAGAGGCGGAGGCGGAGGAGGAGGAGGCAGGCAGGGGAGGACGGGAGCCAGCTCACGGCGTTCGGCCGCTGGGGGGCCATGAGCCGCGATCGGACGCTTTCGCCGGCCAGCGCGAGGCTGCTTCAGGCGTTTGGATTTTCCGTAGGCGCGCACGCGTTACTTGAGATGACGAGTGGGCAGCCGCTGCTGGGATTCAGGAGGGGAAACAACACACAGACACAATTGTTGATTCCCAGAAAATATGGGGAAATATGGGAAGCGGGGGGGGAGGGAGACAGAAACCCAGAACACATGGGAAAATATGGGGATTTGTTTTATTTGTGTGTATTTATGTGTGTGTCCTAGGGCCCCTTCGCTGACGCGTGGGCAGCCGCCTGCTGGGCTGGCGCACGGAGGCTCTGATGCGGACCTGAGGCGGGCAGCACGGGGATCGCCCCCGCCTCCCCCTCCTGGCCTCCAGGATTGTCGAACTCAGGAGGGAACAAAAACAAACAGACACAATGAATCGTCGATCCCCCAAAAAATATAGGAAAATACGGGAAGCGGGGGGAAGACGAACATCCAAAAAATATAGAAAAATATGGGGAGTAGTTTTATTTGTGTGTATTTATTTGTGTGTCCCAGGGCCCCTTCACGAACATCCTCATGACCCCCCCTCCACCAACGGAAAAGATCTATCTCCCCCAGGGCACTCTAGACAAAAGGCTCCAGGATTCCCAATGGAAGCTCCCCCTCCCCTTCCCGGGAAGGAGGGATCGCCTCCGCCCCGCTTGCAAAGTGCCTGCTGTGTATGAGCCGAAGCGTCTGATCGCGAGTCACCCTGCCACAGGAGAGGCCTTCGACCACAGTTCGGCGCAGCCACGAGGCCGCGACTGCGGATCAGAAGCCAGGCAAACTTCATTCGAGCGGACGGCAGGGGGGGGGGGGGCAATAGACGTCGGGGGATCGAGGATGTCAAGGAAGTGGCCCGCAGGAGTCTTCCACGGCCTCTCGACTGCCACCGCGGGCCCCGCGTCCACTCCCCCCCCCGTTGACGAACACCCGATTCGTCCTCCATCCGAGGACGAGCGTGGCGCCCAGGAGCCGAGGGGGCAAAAGGAGGAAAGGAGGAGGAAAGGAGCCCGAGGAGGAAAGGAGGAAGGAGCCGCGGGGCGCGAAGCCCGAGGAGGAAAGGAGCCGAGGGCAGCCCACCGACGGCCACGGCGCCGGTAAGTGGGATTCGCTGTCCCCCCCTCTCCTGGCAAAGGATGCCACGCCAGACGCCTCAACGCGCAGGACTAGGCTACTTTCATCGGCGCGGGGATTGCGAGGGGGATAATGGGGATATTATCGGTGGATGCCAAAAGGTGGGCTACATCGGACCTAACCTAGCTGAGTACGAGAACGTTGCATGTGCCTAGAGTGGCTTCGCGGGATAATACCTCCGCTAAGTGGGTGGAACCCACTTAGCCCAGGTCGCTAATCCCCCTGAGCCGCTTCTGGCGCACGGGCGGCGTTGGGCCATATATGTGTGTGTGTGTATATATATATATATATATATATATATATATATATATCCCTGGGGGGCAGGCCGGGGGCCCACAAACAGGTGCCCCCACCCCCCATGGCGGGACGGGGGCTCATTTTCCTTGTGTTTTTTATAGGGTTTCTGCGTCCTGGGCCTCAGAGGCCGCCGCCTCCGACCCCCCATGGGCCAGGAGGGCCTCCAGAGGCTCCCAAGACGGCCCAAGCGGGCCCCGAGTCGCCGAAAGACCGCTCCAGGACGCCCAAGATACGCCCAAGACGGCCCGAGAGGCGCCCCAAGGCACTCCACGACGCTTCAAGACGCCTCTCCAGAGCGCTTCCAGAGGCCGAAATCGTCAATTTTACAAAGGTTGTCGACCGATTTTTCCAGCCTTTTCGGCTGTCCGACGTTCCAAGATGGCTCAATAGGCCCCCAAGAGCGCCCCAAGACGGCCCAAGAGGGCTCCAAGACGGCCCCAGAGTCGCCCAAGACAGCCCAACAGAGCCCCAAGACGGCCCCAAGATGCGCCCAAGAGGGGGACCACGCCTCCAAAATTCGACCCTCCGGCTTGAAGAGTGCCCCAGGAGGCCCCAAGGAGCCCCAAGAGGCCAACAGGCACCCAAGAGGCCCAAACGAGGCCTACAGAGGCCACAAAACAGCCCCGAGGAGGCCCCACAACGGTCCCAAAACGGCTACCGAGAAGCTGCTAAACTGCCTTCACGACGTCCCCGACAGGCCAACCACGAGATCCAAAGCAACACCCATGAGGCTTCTGACCCACCACCCAGGGCACCCTGGCGGCAGCAGTGGCAGCACTTGTGCACAGCATGTTCCGGCGGGAGCCTTCCGGAACACGCTGCAGGAGGAGGAGGAAGATCAGGAGGAGAGAGAGCTGGAGTGGGAGGAGGAGGAGGGGGACGAGGAGGAGGAAGAGGCCTCCCAGACAGCTCCAAGATAGCCGAAGAGGCTTCCAAGAGGGCCCTGGGCGGCCCACGAGGGCCCCAAGGTGGTGCCTGAGGCTCCCACGAAGGCCCGAGAGGGCCCCAAGACGGCCCCAAGAGAGGCCCAAGAAGGGAAACACGAACCGAGAATCCGAGCTTTCTACCCCGAGAGGGTCTCGGGAAGTCTCAAGAGGCCCCCAATCGGATCCAAGAGGCCCCCAAGAAGCTCCCAAGAGGGCCGACGAGGTTCCAAGAGATCTCCCAAGGTGGCCCCAAGAGGCACAACACATTGTTTTACGATTGGGCTTTGACGTTTTTTTTCGGCCTTTTGGCATCCCGATGCTCCAAGACGGCCCAAGAGGCTTCCAATACCGCTCCCATATAGAGGAAGAGGCCTCCAAGAGGGCCCCAAGACGGCCCGCGAGGGCCCCAAGACGGTGCTTGAGGCGCCCAAGACGGCCCGAGAGGGCCCCAAGAGCCCCAAGAGAGGCCCAAGAAGGGTAACGCGACCCAACAGCAGAGCGGTCCCCCCACAAGGCCCACAGGAGGCCGCAAGAGGCCCCCAAGTGGTCCGACGAGGACCCCAAAAGCTTCCCCGAGGGCCTAGAAGGCCACCAGGAGACTTCCAAGATGCTTTCAACTAGCCCAAGAGTGCCCCAAATGCATCAAAACTGCTTCCAGGAAGCCCCTGGGAGGCTTCCGGATTGCCTCAATCTGGCCGCAGGTGGCCTCAAGTCGGGCCTCCACGCAGCCAAGACGGCCAATGACGGCTTCAGATTGCAGAACCGATACCCCCAAGGGACCCTCAGACGCCCCCCCAAGAAGCACCCAAGAGGTGCTTCCAACAGCCAGTTGACGAAGCATGAAGCTCCTCAGATGCCGTCGCGCGCCTGTGCTTGATAGCGTTGTCCAAGGTCGCCCAGCGCCCCCCCGGCCTGGGCTAGAACCTGAGCGCGCGCGAAGCGCGCGCGATGGTTCTAACCCAGGGGCCCGAAAACAGCTGCCCGACCTTCCATGCGAGTACCGGGGCTCATTTTCGCTGTGTTTTCACTGGGTTTCGGCGTCCCGGGCCTCGGAGGCCGCCGCGATGGTCCCTGACATTTTCCAGATCCTCGGCGCGGGCTCCAAGACTCAGGAGCGAAACAAGGACGTACATGTACATGAATCCACGCTGGTTTCGAGAGCACGCACTGCACAAATGTTCGTATAACGCGGCGGGTCTCGCGAGGGGCCGTGTTCATGTACATAGCTTGGCGCGTACGTCCTTTGTGGGTTCCCTAAACACCATTCCGCAGAGGGCTCCAACAGGCTCCAGGGCAGCCCAAGAGGGCTCCAAGACGGCTCCAGGAACGACTGCAGGGTCTCATTTTTTTTTTGTTTTCTGCAAGACGGCTCCAAGAAGACTGCATGTCTTCTGAGGATGGCTTCCGCCTCTTGCCCCGAGCATCCCAAACTGCCTGAACGGTTCCCACTCGCCTTCCTCAAACCCAGCGCTTGCCCAAGCGCGTTCCGGACGGTCTTCGCTGGAACGCGCTGGAATGATTGATCACGCGCTGCGGTTTCCCATGCCGACGTCCTCGGAAGTGGGCGCCCTGCCACGAGCGCGTTCCGGGAAGATGCTCCTGGAACGCGCTGAAAAGATATGGCCACATCTCGGGGACGCTCCCAGCACTGCTGCCCCAGCCTTTCTGGGCAGCCTCCACAGCGCTCCAGGAGGGCCCAAGACGC